TCCCCATTCAGATTTGAGAGTATGTGGTTGCTTCATCCAGATTTTGAAGAGAATGTGAAAAAATGGTGGAACGCAGGTAATCCGGAGGTGAATTGGGCAGGTATGAGATTCCACTGGAAGTTAAAAGAGCTTAAAGGTAAAATTAAAGAGTGGAACATTCTTCACTTTGGGAGATTAGAAGAAAAGAAGCAACAGTTGATTAACCAGTTAGAGGAGCTAGATGCAAAGGAAGAGCAAGGCTGCTTTGGGGAAAGAGATAAAGAGTTGAGATGGGAATTGAGGAAAAATCTGGAGGATCTGCATTTTAAAGAAGATATCAGTTGGAAGCAAAAATCCAGACACAAATGGGTGAAGGAGGGAGACAGGAACAAAAAATTCTTCCATGCTATAGCTAATGGTAGAAGGAAGAATAATTGCATTTCTAAATTGGAGATTGATGGTATAACTTTAACCCAACAAAATGAGATTGAAGGGGCTTTTGTGAATCATTTCAAATCTATTTTCAGGAGACCCTTAAATGAGAGATTAAGGATTGAAGGTTTGGATTGGCCCAGGCTCCTTGATGAGTAGATTGATTGGTTGGAAAGAGAGTTTGAGGTGGAGGAAATAAGGGATGCCATCTTCTCTATGGATAGAGCTAAAGCCCCAGGACCCGATGGTTTTACAATGGCTTTTTATCAAGACTGCTGGGAAATTATTAAGGATGACATCCAGAATATGTTCTCAAAATTCTTTGAAAGAGGGGTGATTAACCCTGGTCTGAACTCTACTTTCATTGCATTAGTCCCAAAAAAGGAGGGTGCTTGCCACCCTAAGGAGTTCAGACCCATCAGTTTGGTTAATAGCCTATACAAAATCATTGCCAAGGTTCTCTCATGCAGAATTAGAGGTTCTCCCCACAATTATCTCCCATAACCAAGGTGCATTTGTGAAGAATAGGCAAATTGTGGATCAAATACTAATAGAAAACGAGAGTGTGGAAGATTTCAAAAGAAATGGGAAGAAAGGGTTGGTATGTAAATTGGATATAGAAAATGCTAATGACTTGGTTGATTGGTTTGTGTTGTTGGAAGTGCTTGGGTCCTTTGGTTTTGGGCAAAGGTGGTGTAAGTGGATAAAAGGGTGCATTAGGACCTGTCACTCTTCCATTTTGGTGAATGGTAGGGTAGTGGACCATTTCCCAACTACTAGGGTTATTAGGCAAGGGGACCCCTATCCCCCTTTCTTTTTACCCTGATTGCTGAAGTTTTGGGGAGGATTATAGAGAGGGAAGATTCTAGGGGTCTGGTAAGTGGTTGGAAAGTTGGGAGGGATGGAGTTCAGATCACTCATTTACAGTTTGCAGATAACACGATTCTATTTTGTGGAGGGGAGGAGATTAGGTGGGTTAGAAACTTAAAACGGGTGATTAATGTCTTTGAACATGTGACCAACCTCAAAGTCAAATTTGATAAGAGTTGTGTGATTGGTGTTAATATGAGGGCTGGAGAGGTGGAAAAAAGGGCCCAAATATTGGGATGCAAGATTGCAAAGTGGCCACTAAAATATCTGGGACTTCCCTTAGGGGATAATCCTAGTAGAAGGGACTTTTGGAATCCGGTGATTGAGAAATTCACAAAAAGGCTAGCTTCATGGAAGAAAAACTATCTATCTTTGGGTGGTAGGATAACATTGATTAAAGCAACCTTGGCGAACCTCCCGATATATTTTTTGTCTGTGTTTAAGATTCCTGAGGGAGTGTGTAGGGTGTTGGAGAAATTCATGAGAGATTTCCTATGGGAACCTAGGGAGGAGAAAAGGGATCACAGAGTTAGGTGGGATTTGGTAAATAGAGCTAAAAAGGATGGTGGTCTTGGCTTGGGTAACTTGCAGAAGAAGAATGAAGCCTTGTTAGGGAAATGGTTATGGAGACTGGCAAAGGAAGAGGATAATCTGTGGGCTAAAATAGTCCTAAGTATTCATTGGCAAGAGGCAGACAATTGGGACACGGGTGTTTCATCTAGGGTTACAAGAGCTTCCCCCTAGAAGTCTATTCATACTATTCTTCCATCCTTCCTTCCTTTTAATCAGGTATGACCTTTGCTCTGGTAATTCTGTAAGATTTTGGGAACACATCTGGGTGGCTAACTCACCTTTGAAAAAGCAGTTTCCTTCTTTGTTTTCTCTCTCAAGGTTTAAAAATGAGCCTGTTGCTACTTTCCTAACCTATTCTACTTCTGGCCATGTTCAGAACTTGGGCTTCTGGAGGCCTCTTAGAGACATTGAATTGGATTCCATATCTAATTTGATTAAGATTTTGGAGGAGGTAGTTGTTGATCCCTCTAGATTGGACAATAGGATTTGGGCTCCTACTCCTTCGGGTATTTTTTCATGCTCTTCTTTCTTCAAGGAATTAACCCATTCCCTTTCGGCCCTTGATCCTCCTTTCCCAGCTCTGGAAGTTTGGGGTAGACCAATTCCTCCTAGAGTAGGTGCTTTATGCTGGGAAGCTATCCTAGGAAAGTGTAACACTTGTGACTTACTTCAAAAGAAAAGGCCAAGATGGTGTTTATCCCCGCACCGGTGTATCTTATGTAAGAGGAATGGTGAGAGCTGTTATCACTTATTTGTTTCCCGTCCTTTTGTTTCAGAAATCTGGTGTTGGTTTTTCTCTCTTTTTGGTTGCAGGTGGCCCACTCCCCCAAGTGTACTAAGCTTGTTTAACTCTGTTCCAGTGAGGGGTTTAAAAAAGAGAGGTAAGATCTTGTGGATATGTGTAAGAGCAGCTGTATGTTGGTCAGTGTGGGAGGAAAGAAATCAACAAACTTTCCAGGAAAAAGAAAGGAACAAAGAAGCCATCATTGATTTAATCTACATTAGGGTGGTTCATTAGGTCAAATCTGGAGCTTTTTGAAGGTTTCTCAACAGGAGATATCATTAGAAATTGGAAAGAAGTTGCCTGGTCTGCTCAGTTGTTTAATGCTCCTGTTCCAACTTGGTCTCCTCCAACTATGGGGTTCACTAAATTGAATTTTGATGGCAGCAGCGAAGGGAACCCAGGCCCTTCAGGTATTGGAGGAGTGTTCAGGGATGAAGAAGGTCGAATTATGGCTATGTTTTCAGGGCCTATAGGTTGGGGGGATTCTCTGAGAGCTGAAATTTCAGCAGTATTAGAAGGAGTTAAAAGAGCCAAACAGCTGAATATTAGGAAGCTGCTGGTGGAGGGTGATTCTAAACTGGCTATTAACTGGCTGCAGAAGGAAGAGGGTAGTTTATGGAAGTTCTCAAATGAAAAAAAAGAAAATTTACCAGCTCACTCAAGACATGCAAATTCAGTTTCAGTGGTCCAAGAGGAGCGCCAATTCTTTTGCAGATTATCTAGATAAACAAGGGGTGGGAAGAACTAGTTTCTTTTGGGCTGTATTGTAATGTGATGTTTTTAGGGTGGGATAAGAGATTTTACCCCCCTTCTTGTATCTTTTCCATATCCCTTTAATTAATAAAAGTTTCTGTTATTGATCAAAAAAAAACGTGGAGTATCTTGCTTGTCACAAGTTGAAAGCACTCAAGCACGATGACTCGCTCCATGAGTATGTCAAAGAGTTTTCAGCTCTTACACTGAAGGTCACCGACATGTCAGACAGACTTATTGTTCAACTTCATGGACGGGCTAAAGCCTTGGACCAAGTTAGAGCTCCAGCAACGAAATGTTCAAGTCCTCACCTCAGCCATGGCCATGGCCAAACAACTTGGTGAAATGAGACTGTCAAATGATGAAGGAGGCAAGCCACCTAGCCCACCTTCCATATTCATCTTATCTATGTGATTCTTTTAACTCCAGAAAATTGTGTGAAACCAAAAGAACTTTTATTTTTGTTGTTTAATAGTAAATAACATGATTTATGATGCTTTGATAAACATATCATAAAGGATTTTTTCGTGAGTTCTTGCAAACTTGTCATTACTCAGTTTTAGTCAATAGAATTGCAAAGGATTTTTTTTTCCTACAATCAAGGGAATTAAGCAAGGGAACCCACTTTCAATCCTTCTCTTTACCCTTATAGCGGATGCACTTAGTAGGTTAATTATCTAAAGATGATAGCTCACAACTCATAAGAGGGTGGGGAGGGAGAGAGTGGTAGTCATGCACCTCTAGTTTGTTGATGACATCATAATCTTTTGTGGGGATGTGGATATTCTTCAAATGAGAAATCTGAGGGAGGTGGTAGAACTCTTTGAGAAGATGTCCAACCTTAAAATAAGATAAACGCTAAAAGCTGCATGGCCAAAATAAATGTGTACGAGGGTGATTTAGATACCCTAGGTTGTTCTATCATCCAAATGGTCTATGAGTTACTTCGGTCTTCCTTTAGGAGGAGTAGGACTAGGTATGGTCCTAACCTTTGGCATTTTTTTGACACAAAGTATCTACATTGAGACTCGAACCTGCATTCTGACACTTGCCAGCCCAAGATTTTACAACTACACCAAGTAATAGCCCCTATACTAAGAGATAAAAATGGCACCTAGAAAATGCCAGGCAATGATATTTTTTTTAAACCATGCACTAAGAAACACAGAAGGTTATAAATATTATCACCAAATCATTGTCCCAGAGTGGAGTTATATTATTATCATATGATATGACTTCTGAGGTAGTGCCCTCACCAGCATTTTCAACAATTACTTTTGGAAAAGTTTTCTAGTTAACCAATCAGTAATGGCAGTAACTGCTAAACTTGTGTCATGCAATAGCACCAACTAGACACCCTCCCTAACTCCCAAGGCAATGCAAGCGAATTTGGAGATAAGAAAGTCTACCAGAATTAAGTAACAATATGACCAGGAAACATTGCAAAGTCATCGTTCTTTGGTTTTTCTTATCACCCAATCCAACTAAATCTTGCCCCAACTATATGATCAGCCACATGAATCCTAATTGCTCAACACAACCTACAAGAATATTTTCCCTCCTTTCTCTTTCTGAAAATTTTAAAAAAGAAAAAGAATCAATTATATACCTTATCATTTTCTCAACCTGCTTTGCAACACTATACTCCAAATCTGCTTCTTTTTGTTTTGTCCGTCCAGATTTTGCCATTTTCTTTGATTCTAATATCCGTGGTAGAACATATAATTGATAATCTTCATGCAAAAGTATATACTGCATTTCAAGGTTACATAATGATCAACTGACATAATTAGGAAAAAAGAGAAAAACAGAAAATTGAAGAAAAGTTCATAAGGATTATTGGGAGGATGATTGGATGGGGGTGGGGAGGCTTTGGGAGGTGTGCCCAAGGTTGTATAATCTAAGTGAAAAGAATACAACAATTTTTTAATGCTTTCAAGTTAGACAGGGAGTGGTGGTGCAGTGCCCTAAATTTAGAAGGGTTTGACTTTTCTCCTTATTTGGGTGCAGGTGGGAAACGCCATCAGAAATAAACTTGTTGTTCAACCCATCTACTTTCTCTTGGCCCCAAAAAAGAGGAAAAAGTATGTGGAGGTGTGCAAGAGCAGCTTTGATTTGGACAGTTTGGGAAGAAAGGAATAATAGAATATTCCACAAGAAAGAAAGGAACAACCAGGCTTGAAGGATTGCATCACGAATAGAGCAATACACTGGTTAAAGTGTATGGAACTGTTTCAACCTTTCTCCTTTAATGATTTATGGAGGAATTGGACAGCAGTAGCAAGCTGCTGGGAGTTGGGAATTCTGTTAGAGCAGAATTGTTAGCTGTCATACAAGGAGTTCTTCTTGCAAAAGATTTGGGAGTGGAGCAATTGCTGATTGAAGGGGATTCTAAGATAGTAGTGGGGTGGCTAAATAGTTCAGAGGAGGTCATTTGGATCTACAAGAACAAGCTCAAGAGATTTAAATGGCTGACAAGAAATATAAATGTTATAGTACAGTGGGTGGGGAGATAAGTGAATGCCCTTGCGGATACTTTGGCAAAACAAGGGACAGTTAGGGATACATGGTTTTGGGCTAAATTGTAATCTTACAGTAGCAAGCATGTGTTCTTTGTTTTAGTTTTTTTGGTTCATTTTTGTGGATTCCATGTCTTGGAGAGGCGGCAACTCGCACCTCCCCAAGGGTCTGTAATCTCCTCTTGATTCTAAGGAAATGTGTTTTATTATTTATCAAAATAAATTAGAAGACCCTTGTTGGATTGGTAGTTCAACTGTTCAAGAAATACAAGATGGTGGAAGGAGTGTAAGAATGGGAGATTTTAGGTGAAGTCATTTTGTAAAGATTTGGCTAGGAATCAGGTTTAAAGGATTGCTGTCACGGGTGTTTGGGGAAACCCTATTCCTCCAAGGGTGGAAGCTTTTGCTTGGTTGGTATCCATGAATAGATTCTGATGCAAGACAATTTAAGAAGGAAAGATTTTCAAATGGTTAGTGGTGCATGTTTTTTTTTTATTGAAGGCCAGTAGGTGCATGTTTTGTGAATCAGTGGGGATTTTTTTATCAATAACAGAAGCAAATTCATTAATAAAGAACAATTAAGTATTCAGAGATGTAACCCGGGCCCTTCAGGTATAGGAGTATTCAGAGATGAAAATGGAAGAATTGTGGCTATGTTTTTAGGACCAATAGGAGTGGGGGACTCATTGAGAGTGGAGGTGATGGCCTTGCTTCAAGGTGTAAGATATGCCAAACAATTGGGGTTACACCAAATTGAGATAGAGGGAGACTCTAAATTGTTGATTGAGTGGCTGCGATCTAGAAAGTTGGGAGCCTGGATTTATAGAAAGCCCATAAGGGAAATCCTCAACACAACAAGGGAGATTGGTGCATGCTTCAAATGGACAAGGAGATCAGCTAAAGGTTTAGCTGACACGTTGGCTAAACAAGGGACTGTGAGGGAGAGAATGTTCCGAGCAGTTATGTAAGAAAGATTACTGAGGCTCAACACCTGTTTAGGGGTTGACAGCTGTACTTAACTCTGGAAAGTTATTCTTAAATTGTATTAATGAAGTTACCATTTCCAATAAAAAAAAGTATGCTCATAACACCGATAATTTCACACTCATGCAGCCCTCTTTTGAACCCCAAATCCCAGTCAAAACCAATTCTTGAATTAGATGGGACCATGAAATAGGAAAGAGACTCCTCCCTACGGCTGGAGATGGCATAAAGAGAAGAGAATTGTGCCTTTAATGATAAGTTGTCCACCCAAACATGATCCTAAATTTCGACAAGAGTTCCAGAACCAGAGTTATATCTGATGTATGGTAAGATTAAAGGTAGGATATCATGAATGGACTTCCAAGGAGAAGCACTTGAAGCCCTAGCCAAGACGCTAGTATCCCATCCATCAGCTACAAGCCTATGAATGCTAACGATCACCTTTTGCCCACAACTTATTTCTATCAATTGTTTCTACACACTACTTCCCAATTTACTCTAGGATCCTTCTTCTCTTCCCTTGTCTCCCATAAAAAGTCCCTCATCAACTCCTCTAGTTTTCTACTTAGCCCATCTGGAATCCTAAAGATTGACAAAAATAAATAGGCAAGTTGGCTAGTGTAAATTTAATTAGGGTGATCCTTCCTCGTAGGGACAAATAACTACTCTTCCACGACGCCATTTGGACCTTGCCTACCTCCTTATTTTTCTTAAATACACTTCCAAGCCATTTGGATCTTGTATTTTACAATCCAATTTTTTCCACAAACTTAGCAACTGTATCACTCGACCAAGACCCATCTTCTCTTACCTCAAAATCTCCCCCAGATTTTGTAACAGATCTATCAGATTCATTCCAAAAATCTCCCTCTTCAAAATAGCTGCCCTTCTCCAATTCCTTTCTCTTAAAATCCTCAAAAAAAGTCTCAATCATCTCCCATATTCTTCTTCCCCTATCTTCCTCTTCTAATTCTCTCTCAACATATAAACCACCTTCTTCTTCCCTACTTTCAGCTTGTGGCTTAGAGGCTACCTTGGAACCTGGAACAACAATTATAGGCACGGAGCAGGACATATTTAAAACTGTATTGACAAGATTACCTAGTTCCTGGTGAGGGGAAGACACAATCACACTAAACGGATTTTTTATCTTTTCCTATTCAGGAATTTGGGGCTCACCAATCACCCTATTTGGAGTTTCTACTAGGAAATCTTTCGTCAGTGATTTAATTCTTTGTTTACTACCACTACTCGCCTATCCCTCCCTCGACCCTTTGTTCTATCTCTAGTGATCCTCAACTAATCCCTTACAAACACCCTACCTAAAACAAAGAATTTGGTTCTAGTACCCTTTTGATTAGGCTTCAGATTCCTATCTCGATATCTTCTTACTACTCCATTATGTTGGCACCCCTGTTTTCCGCCGCTAGAACCAAAGATGAGATCACCTTAAAGTTGTCTTCAATTGTGAATAGGATATCTATGCTTACCAAATCTTCAACTTTCTCTAGCAAATCTTTCCCATCCCTTCACTGCCACCAAATGAATCAACTTCTGGTTCTAAGTCATCATCTTCATCCTCCATCATCAGCATCCTCCAACCTACACCTTGAACACCTAGGGTTGGGCAATCATTCACCGACTAGACAGAACTCACTTCCAATGCTTCTGGTCTAGGATCCATTGCATACCAATCTTTGAGACGCTACTCAGTTTTGACTTGTCATTAGTGTCAAGTTGAAATGACAATAGACCAATATTATGGTCCTCAGTCGAGTTCCGCTTAACCATCTTCATGTGATTACAAGCAATCGACATTTGCTCTAAATTGGATGGATTTTTGTTTACGACAGACTGGGAGGAACATTAAGGAGCAGTAACCTCTAGGCCTTGCTAGGGTAACCTCAAACCATTGGCCTATCACTTTCGCTAAGGAGGAGTTGGGTAGTAGAGGACCAGCCCCTTTCAGGTTTGAGAATATGTGGTTGTGTCACCTTGGGTTTGTTGAGATGGTTAAGAATTGGTGGAATGAGAGTAATCGAAGGGCTAACTGGGAGGGTATGAAATTTCATTGGAAGTTGAAGGATTTAAAAGGAAAGATTAAAGAATGGAATATCCATCAGTTTAGCGGGATTGAAGGGAGAAAATAGGAGGTAATTAGTCAAATTGAGGAGTTGATGCTAAGGAAGGTGGAGGAACCTTTGAGGAGAGGGACAAGCAGGATAAGTAGGCCCTTAGGAAGCATATAGACTTATAATATAGAGAAGAAATCAGCTAGAGGCAAAAGTCTAGGCACAGATGGGTGAAAGAGGGGGATAGGAATAATAAATTCTTTCACACTATGGCTAATGATAGAAGGAAAAACATTGCCTCTAAATTGGTGATTGATAGTGTGATACTCACTTAACAGGTAGAGATTGCAGGGGCTTTTATGGAACACTTTAACTATATTTACAGATACCCATAAATGAGAGAATTTAGATAGAAGGTTTGCACTGACCCAGATTATCTAAGGACCTTAAGATTTGGCTTGCAAGGAAGTTTGAGGTGGAGAGGAAATAAGGGAAGCAATATTCTCAATGGATAGATCCAATGCGCCAAGACCAAATGGGTTTACAATTGAATTTTATCAGAATTGTTGGGATATATTGAAGCAGGACATCCAAAAAGTGTTCAATGAATTCTTTGGAGGGTGGTGATAAATACGGGGATGAACTCAACTTTTATTGCTTTGATTTTAGAGAAAAGTGGAGAAAATCATCCAAGAGAGTTCAGACCTATCAATTTGGTGAATAGTCTATACAAAATTATTGCTAAGGTCCTATCTAGGAGAATTAGAGTAGCGCTTCCAACTTTAATTTCATAGAATCAAGGTGCATTTATGGGAAACAGACAGATTATTGATCAAATATTAATTGCAAATGAGAGTGTGGAGGATTTAAATAGAGCTAGGAAGAAGGGTGTTGTATGTAAACTGGACTTGGAGAAAGCTTATGATATGGTGGATTTGTCTTTTTTAATACAAGTGATGGAATGTTTTGGCTTTGGGGAGAAATGATGTAAATCGATTCTGAGGTGTATTGAGGCATGCCATTATACAACTCTGATGAATGGAGCAGTAGTAGATCACTTTGAAGTAGTCAGAAGGATTAGGCAAGGGGACCCCCTTTCTCCTTTCCTTTTCACTCTAATTGTAGAAGTGTTGGGTAGGCTAATAGAGAAGGCAGATTTTAGAAACTTGGCGAGGAT